TCCAGTTGCAAACTTTTTTTTTTTGCAGAGGGGAATGAAATGTGATCATAATTCAAGAGTGCATATAATTAAATTAAACTTTTAATTACTTAATTCTGAAAATCCAAATTTAACACTTGATTTCAGCATATCTGGGAGTGTGCTGTATGTAGTTAACTTTTTGAATTGTTCAGTTTTCAGCACAGGCATTTACACTTTGGAAAATAGCAAATGCTATAAATCAGGTCTTTATTTATTGTTTTGTTCATGGTATAGATTTAAGAAAGTGATGGGGAAAATGTTAATGATGCAGATTAACCTTTAAAAATGTGTTGTGTGGGGGCAACTAGGTGGCACAGCGGATAAAGCACTGGCCCTGAAGTCAGGAGGACCTGAGTTCACACCCAGCCTCAGACCAAACACTTGACACTTACTAGCTGTGTGACCCTGGGCAAGTCACTTAACTTCAATTGCCTAATATATAGATAGATAGATAGATAGATATACATATATATATATAGATAGATAGATATAGATATATCTATACCTATCTATATCTATATTTATATCTATATCTATATATCTCAACTAGCTGCCAATTCCCAAGGAATCTCCCCACCACCCCGCTAGCATGAATCAGTATCTAGATTCAGATTTCTTGTTCTTTCCCTCCAATCCTGATTTCGCTAGATGAAAAAAAAAACACACTGTAAAAATCTACCAGACTTGATTGGTTAGGGTGCCCATTCTCTCTAAGACCCTAGCAGGATGCACACAATTCTAACTGGGCCCCAATCCCAACCAGGGCCAGTAGCTCTGACCTGTTTCCACCATCCTCCCTGGCTGTCTTTCATGTTGTAAATTGTTGTTGTTGTTGTTCAGTCGTTCAGGTGTGTTCCACTCTGTGCCCCTGTGGACCATGGCATGTCAATACTGTCCATGGGGTTTTCTTGGCAGGGATGCTGGAGTGGCTGGCCATTTCCTTGTCCAGTGGATTAAGGCAACCAGAGGTTGGGTGACTTGCCCAGGGTCACATGGCTGGTGGATGTCTGAGGCCAAATTTAAACTGAGGTCTTCCTGACTCTAGGCCAGGTGCTCTGTCCACTGAGTCACCTAGCTGCTTCCAATATATTGTGAATATGTACCCTCAGTGGGCAACTGGATGGCACAGTGGGTGGAGAACTGAACCTGGAATTAGGAAAAATCATCTTCCTGAGTTTGAATCTGACCTCAGATACTTGCTGTCTGAGTGGCTCTGGGCAAGTTCCTTAACCCTGTTTGCCTCAGTTTCCTCATCCATAAAATGAGTTGGAAAAGGAAATGGCAAACTACAACAGAGTCTTTGCCAAGAAAACCCCAAATGGGGTCAGAGAGTCTGAAAAATAAAATGTCCCTTCAATAAAGTTGGCTTCCCTTACTAAAAAAAAAAAATTAATTTGTGTCTACATTATTTTTTGCAGGAGAGGAGAGCCAGCTGTTAAACATTTTCTGGAATGCCCTTAAGTATATCTCATAGGCTTAATTTAATGATTTTTACAGAGAAAGTTAAAGGCATGGGTTAATTTCCAGCATTTGGTTGATCTCATTTAGAAGGTTCACGAAACAGGATCTTAGAATCATATGCTTCAAGTTAGAAAAGATCTTCAACATCGAGTCCAATCAACTTATTTTACAGATGAAGAAACTGAGGCCCATCTCTTCCAAAGCATTACTTTTGTCCTGATGGACATTATTTTAAGTGTTCTAAAGCTTTTTGGGTTTGCTGTAATTTTCTTGGTGACTTTGTACTCTTTTAAATGAAGAAGTAATACAGCTCATTTATCATCTAACCTCCTCAACCAGATAGTTCTTCAGTTATAAATATGCTGCTAAATTCAGGCACAATGAGATTCGACACATTTATTTTTATTGCGAAGTTTCTTCTTTAAACCATTGGATCTTAAAACAAATTGTAACAAAGAAATTATTCTAAGCTCTGCTCGGATTTGGGCAGCTAAACCAGTTGTCACACCAACCAAAAACAAAAGAGTCAGATTCCTTTTCTAGCCTGCAGATAAGTAAACCTCTCTATTCCCCTACATTATCATATACTGAGCTGAGAGTGATATTTCTGCATAATGAAAAATTAATGCAATTAAAACTAATCACTGCTTCTTATCCCATCCCCCATTTGAGGGGAGAGATTTTTTTTTTGTTATGCAACATAATTTCCATGCAACTTATCTGTGCCGCCACATAGATATTACAAATGATAGTAACTACAACATCCAGGAGAATAGAAAACAGTGTATGTGTTTTCCCAGATAATTGGTACATGAATACCAACTATGGGTGTCATGTTACCTACTGTATATTGCTTCCCTGTTAATGCACATTTAATGAAAATATGCATGTAAAAGGAAATTCAGGCAGATGGTACATGCGACTTAATGAGAAAGAGTACCTGAAGGCAAAAAAGATGACAAAACCACCCACTTAGATATATTACTTATTACCCTGAAGCGTTTTGGTATAAATTACCACATTTGTTGCCTAGCACTACTCTAAAATGTTTTTTCAGTAAAGGTGGTGGGGTGGAGAGACTGCATAGCTGTTTGTCTTTCTTTGTACCTTAATAACTCAAATGTACAACTTTACCAACAATGTAAAAATGCAAATTAATATACAATGACTACAAAATATAAGAGGAAATAACTTTTTGAAAGAACTCTGACCAATGTGTGACCAATCGTGACGTCCTGGACTGATACTTCCTGACTCTTGGCAGTTGATGGACTAGAGGTGCAGAATGAGACATAGATTTTCAGACTCTGCCAATGGGCAGATTTGTTTTCTGTGATTGTGCTTATTTGTAAGAAGGCAAGGGCTTCTATAAAAAAGGGGTAGGGGTAGGGATAGGGGCAAGTTAGTAGGTAGTAACAAAGAGGTTCTTTTTTAAAGGAAAGAAAATAGTATCACTAAAACATTTTAAATAAACAGAAAAAACAAGTCAATGTTCAGAAGATACAAATAAACAAGACAATTTTGTTATTGTCAGAAATAAATTCAACATACCACCAGGCCTTATTCTCTATCCTGCCACTGCCTTCTTCTAATGTCTTTTGGGATTTACCACCTATGTACCATATGGGATCTACCATCTATCTACCATTCCTCTATGCCTATCACACCCCTGACACTCATCTGACCACTCAGCATCTGTTGCTCAGCCTGATATCAATAGCAGGAAAAAGATATCCCTCCCAGGTTAAGCTCATCACCTCCAAACTTATCACAGTGCAGCTGTTATTGTTGTTGTTCATCCTTTATTCTGGAAGAGAACCAACGCAGCTACCTCAAGTCTTGACTCAGACCACCTCCCTCAGCCTGCTCTCCCCTCTGATTGGAGGACTGGAGAGTAGAATAACAAACTCCTCCAAATGCCTTCCTTTTTCAAGGGCAGAACTGGACTTTTCAGCTCGTTTCACTCTGCATCTGCAGCTCTGCTTGGTTTTAACTACATAGAACAAGATGCCTCCATGCCAGTACCCTCTTGTCTTCCTCCCCCAATTTCCTGCTTCCTTTCATGTGTGGTCTCCTGCATTGGACCGTAAGCTCCTTGAGATTAAGTATTATCTTTCTTTTTATTAAGTGTATTCCCAATGCTTAGCACTGTGCCTGGCACATAGTACTCATTTAATAAATGTTGACTGGATTAGATTAATGTAACTGAAAACTCTTGCACCTTGGATCTGCCTCTCAACCAAACAGTTTGGAATTCTAGGTCTTTCCATGGGCTCTGCAGAAGAACTTTATTTTACATGTTGCCTCCTTAAGAGCTGGAACCGTATCAATTTTTCTATTTGTATCCCCAGAGCTTAATGCACTCCCTGGTATACAGTAATTATTTAATAAAGCACTTTTCATTTACTTATTCATTTTCTTTTCAAAAAATGTATGTAGCAGTTATTTACAATTCCACATAAATCCTCTTTTGTTTTTGTTTGTATACCAAAATGGTCACATTTGTTGATAATTACATTCATAACAAAAAAGAAAATTCAAAAAAGGCAAATTAAAACAAAGCTGCGGTCATGGTGCTGAGAAGCAATATTTTTGCTCATGCACTGCTTATAGTATGTTCATCTGATTTACTCTTTCTGAAGAGTAATCCAATAACACATAAACAAGAATTACAAATCTGAATATACATTTTGACCTAGTAGCAACACTCTAGGAAACAAACTGTGCAGAAGTAGGTTAGAAGGGGGAAGAAGGGGTATGTGTTCAAAGACAATCATTGCAGCACTAATAGGCTAAAATTGATAATGATGCAAATACCCTACAATAGGAGACTTGTTTAAGTCTTTTTTTAGTCATTTCTGAAACTTCTTTACTCCTTTTGGGGTTTTCTTGGCAAAAATACTGGAGTGGTTTGCCATTTCTTTCTCCAGCTTATTTTGCAGATGAGGAACTGAGGCAAATAGGATTAAGTGACTTGCCCAGGGTCACACAGTTAATAAGTATCTGAGGCCAGATTTGAACTCATGAAGATGGGTCTTTCTGGGCCCAATGCTCTATCCACTGCTCCACCTAACTGCCCATATAATGGGAGAAGAGCTAAGCAAACTTGGTGCATTTTTTACAAGTAATACTATATAGTTATTAAGATGGCAGATATCATGGAATGTTAATATATAGATTTTTTTCATAAAATATTATTAAGTAAAAATTTAAAAAGAACATAAAGTATGTACTGATGGAATATGGGAATATCAAAATGCATACAATAAGAAAGATCAAAAAAAAAAAAAAGAAAGATCAGAAGAGCATTTGGAATGACCTATATCAGGCCTGCACAACATACCACCTGTGGGCTGCTTTGGCGGGCTACAAGTGGCTCACAGGCCATATGTTGTGCAGGCCTGAGCTACACAGTCTAATGTTTACATGGTTCTTTAATTTTCTATAAAATTAAGCTCCTAATAAAAAACAAACAAACAAAATGTTCAGTGCCTCAGCCCAACCACTACATTCTTTACCTTTTTGAGGATTCCAGTCTCTGTGGGTAAAGGGGCCTGTACTTCAGGAGAGATCTGACTGGGATGGAGCTCCCTGCAATGTCTTGTATATTCTGGTATTTCCTGAGAAGCTTCATGGTTTCCAACAGATAGCTCCAAAACACTACAGGGATTAAAAATGGAGTCATTAATAAGATGTGAATCCTTCTATGAGTCAGCTATAGTCTTGAAGCTTACCCTAAGGAGAGTCGAAACAGAGAAGGAAAACTATAGACCAATGTCCCTAAAGAATACTGACAAAAGTTTTTTAAATAAAATTTTAGCAAGGAGACCACCACAACAAAGATTAAATGCTATGATCAGGAATGCAAGGCAGAGTCAATATTAGGAAAATTATAATCTACCATATTAACAAGAAAAACAAAAATTATATGACTATACCAATAGATGCAGAAAAAGCTTTTGACAAGATACAACATCCAATCATATTGGGTTAAAAATACTAGACAGCATTGGAAAAATGGATTTTTCCTCAATATGATAAGCAGTACTATCTAATGGGCAGCTAGGTGGCACTGTGGATAAAGTGCCACGCCTGGACTCAGGAAGACCTGAGTTTAAATTGAGCCTCACACCAAATAAACAAGAAAGAAGTTAAGGAGGTGAGTAGAATTTTAGAAAAGTTAGATATGGTTGGCCTCTAGAGATAACTAAATATGGATAGAAAGGAATATGCCTTTTTTCTCGGTGGTACATGGCACCTACACAAAAACTGACTATGTACTAGGGCATAAAATCCTCACAATCCAATGCAGGAAGGTAGAAATATTAAATGTATCCTTTTCAGATCATGAAGCAACAAAAATTACATGTAATAAAGGGCCATAGAAATATAGACTAAAAATGAATTGGAAACTAAATAATCTAATCCTAAAGAATGAGTGGGTCAAACAACAAATCATTGAAACAATCAATAACTTCATCTAAGAGAATGACAATAATAAGACAACATACCAAAACTTATGGGATGCAGCAAAAGTGGATCTTAGGGGAAGTTTTATATCTCTAAATGCTTATATAAATAAAATAGAGAAAGAAGACATCAATGAATTGGGCATGCCACTAAAAAATTGAGAAAAAGAACAAATTAAAAATCCCCAATTAAACACCAAATTAGAAATTCTGAAAACCAAAGGAGAGATTAATAAAATTGAAACTAAGAAAACTATTGAGCTAATAAAACTAAGAGCTGTTTTTATTTAAAAAAAAATAAAATAGATAAACTTTTGGTTAGCTTAATTAAAAAGAAGAAAACCAAATTACCAGCATCAAAAATGAAAAGGGTGAATTCACTACCAATCAAGAGGAAATCAAAACAATAATTAGGAATTATTTTGCCCAACTGTATGCCAATAAATTTGACAATCTTAGTGAAATGGATGAATATTTACAAAAATATAAATTGCTCAGATTAACAGAAGAGGAAGTAAAATACTTAAATAACCCCATGTCAGAAAAAGAAATTGAACAAGTCATTGATGTACTTCCTAGGGAAAAATCTCCAGGGCCAAATGGATTTACAAGTGAATTCTATCAAACATTTAAAGTACAATTAATTCCAATACTATATAGACTATTTGGGAAAATAGATGAAGAAGGAGTCCTATCAAATTCTTTTTATGATACAAATATGGTGCTGATACCTAAACCAGAAAGAACCAAAACAAAGAAAGAAAATTATAGACCAATTTTCCTAATAAGTATAGATGCAAAAATTTTAAATAAAATATTAGCTAAGAGATTATAGCAACTTATTTTGAGGATAACACACTATGACCAGGTAGGATTTACACCAGGAATGCAGGGCTAGAATATTAGGAAAAGTATCAGCATAATTGACCATATCAACAACAAAACTAACAGAAATAATATGATTATCTCAATAGATGCAAATTGAGCCTCAGATCCTTACCAGATGTGTGACCCTGGGCAAGTCACTTACCCCCTGTTTGCCTCTATTTCTTCATCTATAAAATGAGTTGGAGAAGAAGACTCCAGTATCTTTGCCAAGAAAACTCCAAATAGGGTCATGAAGAGTCAGACACAACTAAAATGACTAAATAACAAAAAGTATCTAATTAAAACCAAGAACCAGCATTATATATAATAAAGAAAAACCAGAGATGTTTCTAATTACATTAGGGGAAAGCAGGGACATCCCTTAACACCATTACTAGGTGGTACTAACTACAGTGATAAGATGAGAAAAATAAATTGAGGGAATAAGTATTGGCAAAGAGGAAATAAAGTTATTTTTGATAGCTAGCAAGTAGCATTTATATAGCACTTTAAGGTTTACAAAGCACATTATAGATGTTAACTTATTTAATTCTCATAAAAATGAAATAGGTGCTATTGTTATTTCCATTTTACAGATGACAAAAGTGAGGTATAAATAGCTTAAATGACTTGCCAAGGGTCAAACTCAGGTCTTCCTTCCTTTAAAGTTCTGTACCTATCCACTGCACCACCTGGCTGCCTATGATATGGTTTACTTAAAAAATTCTAGAGAGTCGATTAAAAAATTAATTGAAACAGTTTAGTTCAGCAAAGTTACAGGATATTAAAAAAAACACAAATCATAAGCAATTCTATATATTAACAAAACTGAGCAAGATCTTTTCAATAGTTAAAATAACCTTAAAAATATAAAATATTTGGAAGTCTACTTGTCAAGACATTTATAGGAGGTATATGAATACAATGCAAACCACTCTTTACACAAATACAGAGCAAAATATTTGGATACATATTAGTTGCTCATGGGTAGGCTGAGCCAATATGACAAAAATAACAATTCTACCTAAATCAATTTATTTATTCAATGCCACATCAATCAAACTACTAAAGGATTACTTTATATTGCTGGAAAAAAATAAAATTTATCTGGGCCTTCAGAGGATATCCAGGACAACAGTCACATTTTACAGGTGATGAAACAGAGGTCCAGAGAGTTTAAACGACCTGCCTAGTTAACGAGTGGGAACCAAGAATGGCAGCATGGTGGAGAGAATGTTGGACTTGGAGTTCGGAAGTCCTGGGTGCACATACCATATCAGACACACCAGCTTGAGAACTCTTGAGTGAGTTTATTGACTTCTTATAGCCTCAGTTTCCTCAATTATAAAGTGAGGATAATAATAGTACTTACTTACTTCATAAGGTCACAGGTGATAATAGCTAACATTTCTATAGTGCTTACTATGTACCAATCACTGTGCTAAGTGCTTCACAATTATTACTCATTTGAGCCTCACAATAACCTTGGGAAGTAGGTGCTATTATTATGCCTATTTTATAGATGAGGAAACTGAGGTAAATAAAGATTAAGTGACTTGCTCAGGATTACAAAGCCTCAAACACTTAGATGCTGGATTTGAATTTAGGTCTTCCTGACTCCAGGCATAGCACTCTATCTACTGTGTAATGTGTAATGGTGATCAAATAAAAGAATGTACGTAAGCACACTGCAAATAATACAATACTATGTAACGTCTGTTATTTGTCTAAAAATATAATTGAATTTCCCCTTGTGCCATGAAATAGAAGGAACAGGAATTTTGTTATTCCCTCTTTCTCAATAGTCGAAGTGGAAGAAGAGAGAGATTATTTGTCTTTACAATATTGTTATATAAATTGTTCTCCTAGTTCTGTTCATCTTACTCTGCATCAGTTCATAGAAATCTTCCCAAGCTTTTCTGAAATTGTCCCCTTCATCATTTCTTGTAAAACAATAGTGTTCCTTTTCATTCTTATACCATAACTCATTTAGCCATTCTCTAATTGATAGACAACCTCTCAGGTTCCAATTCTTTACTACCACAAAAAAAGCTGCTATAAATTGTAGCCCTCTTCTTTTTACTTTTATCATTGGAGTGTATAACCAAAATTGGTATTGCTGGGTCAAAGTGTATGTACTGTTTGGTCATAGCTCCAAATTGCTTTCCACATTGTTTCTGGATCAGTTCTACCAAATGCATTAATGTACCTGTTTTCCCACAGCTTCTACAACATTCGCCATCTTTCTTTTTTGTCAAAATAAGTATTTTCTGTACTTCATAAGATTTTTATGGAGGGAGGCATCTGTGAAAAGGAGGTGTCACTTCTTATTAGATGATTTAAAAGGGTCTGGGGGTGGCGGGAACTTTTCTGAAATTTTTATTGGGGGCTCTGAATTAAAACTGAGTGCACGAGCATATACTTCTATAAAACCAAGACTGCACCAAACTAGAGTATTATAATGGCTAGGAACCATAATGAATTAAGGAGAAAGAACTCTTGTCTCATGGAAATACAAATCTTTTTTAAAAAAAAAGTAATGAAGTTATGCTAGCCAATTAATTATATTTAATTAAAGGTGTTACTACTCTGATTAGCAACATATGCCACTAATTATTTTCCCTACTGTGAGATTAGCAAGCATTACAATCTTTAGAAATAAGATACATTAAGGATAAAGAAAGTGTTTTCCAAGGATCTAGTGCCTAGATTGAGTTGTTTGGGGATATAAATAGTACAGCTAACAACTTAAGGTCAAATCATTACTTGAGAAAGGAAGATCTGAGCTCAGGTAAGTTAGCCAAACAAACCAATTTTCACTAGAGAAAGAATAATTTTGTGGAGCTCAGATCCATTGATTCTCTTTCCTGTCTATTCTAAATTTTCACTCTTTGATTCATGGTCTTTATACTTCTTTATTCCTTTTTTAGTCTCTTTGTGTTCCTCATGAGATTGAACCTTCTAAAGTATCAAGTTGGAATTCCCTCTTCACTTAATTTCCATGTTATTGCCTTGCAGATTCCTGCAGGAGGTAGTGAGGACAGAAATATTGCCCCATGGTAGAAATTTCCCTTTGTTCCTGATTGTAGAATCAAATTCTATCCTCTGTTCTCTTCATGATCATCTTCTTTCCCATTTTACATGGAGGTTCCTCTCTGAGTTCATGCCCTTCCACCCTTCTGGATAGCAGGAACCCCCCCTCCTTCCCCCTCAACCCAAGAAGTTCTAATTCTCCTCATGAGGCAGAACATAGATACATAGGACTCTGTCAGGGGAAGTGGTTTCCTTTGCAAACATTCCTGAAGATAACCATTATAAGGTTTT